TTTTTCTTCATGAATAACTTTTAAACCTTCAATAATTTGTCCAAGAATCTTAATTTTATGTTCCCATTTTAAATTTTCAAAATCTTCTGTCAAATAATTTTGAAGACTTCCATCTTTTATATATTTCATTACAAATATATATTTTTTTGTAACTGGATCTTGTGTTAATCCATAAATTTTAATTATATCTTCATTATCATAAAACTTCATATAATTTTTGAACTAAAAAATATTTAATTACAACAATAATAATCAGTAGTATTTAAAAATCTTAAACTAATATTAATAAAATAATTTACCTCATTAAGAAATTCATCAGAAATGTTATGTAATTTTTTTAATGCCACAGTTCTATTTTTACTACATCTTTTTTTATCACCTGGATACTTCTTACCATTTAACCAAGAAGCTTTGTATATAGTTGAAAAGCCACCTTCACCTATCTTTTCAATCTTTGTTAAATCATCATAAGAAATCCATAAAAGGTAATATTTATTATCATACTCAATTGCTTTAAGTTGTGTGCTTTTAATCAACTCATCTAATGTTTCATTGCCACTAGTCCATCCTTCAGTTAATGGCTTTGGGTCACATGATTGACACCATAAATCATTAGTATTATATTTATAGCAAGTTGGACATGCCCCATATTTTTTATCTCTATTATATGGATCTTCATCATTTTTATAATCAATTACAAATATATATTCTTTTGTAATTGGATCTTGTGTTAATCCATAAATATGAATTGTATCATTTTTAAGCTTCATATAATTTTTGAACAATAAGATATTTAATTACAACAATAATATTTTAAAAAATCTGAAACAAATATTAATAAAATAATTCACCTCATTAAGAAGTTCATCAGAAATATCTTGTGGATTATGTAATTTTTTTAATGCCACTGGCTTATCTTTAATAGTTTTTTTTTTATAATTTATACTTTTATAACCATTTAACCAATTAGCTTCATATATAGTTGCAAAGCTACCTTCACCTATCTTTTCAATATTTGTTAAATCATTATAAAGAATCCATTGAAGATAATATTTATTACCATATCTTGTTGTCTGACCAATTACGATTTTTGTGTTTTATCATTCAAAATGGAAAATTTATATGCGGAAGAGGATCAATACCATCAATATGATGATGACGATAATAGTAGTGTATTGTTGATGATAATTTTACATGAGAATGAATAAACACTTCCAGTACAAGGTCCAATAGTTCATTGGCTTCAAGTTCCAATGATTTAAGTGGTGGTTCCAGAAGACCTTTAAAAAACGAATTGTAACACATGGTTTTGCGTGGAAGTATTTTGAAAAAGTGAAAGATTCAAATGGAAATAAATTCGTAATTTGCAAATTAAAAAAAAAAAAACGAAATATTATTATTATTGTTATAAAAATAAATTTAGTTGACTAAAATAATCAACTAAATAGTCAACCAGTAGTCGACTAAGTATTTTTTGGACGATTCCAACCTCTAAAGTTTACTGTAACGCTTCAGTGGCAAGACTCTCGTTATGGTTGTATCTTGATCGTTTTCGGTGACCTATTCCTGGGTCATTCTCTAAATTAGAATCTGATATTCCTGGAGAAATTAATTTGAAGATTTCTATCTAAATATTAGTTAAAGCCGAATTTCCACTTGATTGAGTTGATTGAGATAAGATTGTTTTCGTACGAAGGCCATGGTTTCAACATATTCGCAATTGGGTAAATGACATACGCTCGGCTTTGTAAGTGAAAATCTTTTTCACTGCAATCTCGTGTCCACATTTTTGGTATTGTAAACTATTCAAAAGATGTCGAGAAAAATTCCTTATGACATTCCGGTCAGGACCCTTGTACTGAAAAATCGACATTTCTAACAATGTTATCTTCAAGATATTATATGCAAGGGTTTTAAGGGCATAGATAATGATACTTATCAAATTATTTTCCTTCAAGTAACTTGCAAATTTCAATGGCATTTCATTAAATGAAAATTTTGGATTCAATCCTGTCTTTTTACCAAACAATTGTTTGAAATCCTTCTGTAGATTTTAAATTTTTCTGAATATTTTTTATCGCTATTAAGTTTGTATGATTTATGCTTAGGTTCTATTAAATTAATTATTCTGTCAAATTTTTAATTTGTATCATATATCTGGACGAAAGAGCCCAACCAACAATCCACAACAAATTCGGTGGTGAAGGTAAGCATTTTTGTTTAATTGTTATTTTTCAAAAAAGTTACAAGATTTTGAAATTAATAAAGACTTTGGTTGAATTTTACAAGAATCGCTTCACTTATTTATAGTTATGTTAAACGCAAAAGAATTTTCTTGAAGAGTAACGTGATCAGCGCTATCTTTTGCCTAGGGGTAGGGGGTTCAATACGAATGTTACACACTAAGATGTTCCAAATCCCCTGAAATTCATAAAAATAAACACACTTTTTTGATTCAAAAAATATTTGTTCCTTGAGGTAAAAGAGAAGTAGTGGTCAAGTTCTTTTTACGTCTAAGGTTTTGTTTATTTTTTTTTTTCAAAAAAAGTTTTTTTATTTAAGCCTTATTTTAATTAAACATTATGTTTTTTTGCTAACACCTTTTTAAATGATGTGTTGGACTTCAAGTGTTGCAACAACAAAGCTACTGTGTGCACCAAGTCTGCCCAAACACAAGAATTAATTAGGTTTTGATGATAGATTTGTTCTTTTTATTACATTATGATTATTTACTGATCTAAAATAGAAGGAAGGTTTAATTGAGCAGAAATAAAGATCTTTGAATAATATAATTAGAATTGTTAGTTTATTTCACTTTATACATTCACTTAAAATAATACAGATTTCTAACATTCTATTTAAAATGAATCTATGGTTGAATTATTGTTACGCGAGGTATTATCTATACTCCTATTGTATATTAATGATAATTTTTATTGTATATAATAATAACATTGTGTTAATATTTATTTGTCTTATTCAAAAAATAGATCTAGAATTATTGTTATGTGACCATCAAAAAAAAAATCGACATCAATTAACTGATGATAGTATGGTTGGCTCGGTCTAAAGACCTCCCATTGCTGCGCCATACGGAAAACATAGGGCTTCACATGATTTTAGTTTTCTTACTGCCAAATTTAGATACGATAGTCAAGGGCTAGTTTAACTTTGGTAATATTTTTCCTAAATTTAGAAATGATCAGTGGACAAATTCCTCGCGAGCATAGTAAAGTACATGTTTTAAAAAAGAATAGAACTCTACAACAAATAATTTTTGAGAAAATCTCTCTATTAAATTAAATCTAAAGGCATATTATATCAACTAATAGAGCTATTTTTTTAAAAGGTAGGGCAGAAAGTGACTTCTATACTTTTAAAATTTGCCCAAATTTTAGGAGGTCTTTAGACCGAGCCAACTATAGGTAATGATCTACTGCTATGAATGATAATTCTTATTGTATATTACCAAATGAATGTAGAAATTATTTTTAGAAAAAGTTAAAGGCAAAAGTAAACTCAAATTTCAAGTAAAATTTTATTAAAATTATTGACTATACATGAAGTTGAAACTATTTGCAGGTCTGGTTGAAATAGGGTCAAAATAAGGTCGAAACTGATTTTTACTATGTGGTTGCCTCAAGTTGAAACATTTTGACTTTGGGTTTTAATTTCGACTTCATGTATATTATTGACAATGATGATGATGATACTTTCAATGGAATAAAAAGAAAAAAAGTAATATATAGAATTATGGAACCAATTACCAAGGCACTGAGAAACACATATTTGATTTCAAAGTTAAACATAATGAAACTGGTTAAAATGGTCGTTTTATGTGTATAGTAATTGTGATAATTGTATAAGTTGATGGTGACTTATATGGAACTGACAAAGATTATGATTAAAGAAAAGAATGATTATTGATAATGGGTGATGATATTAGCAAGATAATTATTTAGAAGAAAATAAAAAAATAATGTAAATTTGTATTATTTAAATATATAACTATTATTATCATTACATAAAAAAAACACATATATTATTTCAATTAGCTTGCAAATATTTTCAATATAATGATAATCTATAGCCATAAACAATACTTCTAACCTCCTCATCTCCATAATCATTTTTAAACATCGGATTCATCTTTTCCTGGAATATTTTTTCAACTTTAAAATTTTCCTCTTCAGTTGCAATTTTGAAAAAGTTTAAATCTTGTTTTATAAAGTGCGGTCTATGATGTGTAAAAAACACCAATATTTGTCCATTGCTAGGTTCCAAACATTCTTTACATGATTTTAATAATGATTTGTGTTCTGAATGATTTGCCAACAAATCTGATAATAATATTAGATCATATTTTCTTTTATTATTAATGGAATTTGTGGAATTAATGTAATTTAGTAGTGGGTTTGTGTCTCTGCCCCAAATGTAGCCCTAGAAAATTAATTATATTATGTAGGTTGATGATTGGGCCTGTTTAGGTAATTTAATTTGTTAGGTGCAAATTAACTTACCGAGATTATTACATTGTCAGGAAGTTCTACAGATTTTTTATCGCCTTGTGTTTTCTTAACACCAAGATTTGCTATGGCATTATATTTAATATTCTCAATTAACTCATCATCAGGATAATCTGTAATTACAACCTTCTCACCAACGTACAAATAATTAGTTAATTATGATACTATAAATGATGCAATAAATCAAATCCAAATAATAAAATAATTACAAACTTTTTTTGCTTCATTAATAGCACAAATTAATGATGCTAATCCACCACCAGCTCCAAATTCCAACACAAATTTATCTTTGACCAAATTTTTACTGTTGCTATCCAAATAATTTGATAATACTTTACTTGCATTCCATAAATAATGACCCCATAATGGATGGGATCCTATTGTACGAATTGTCAATGATTTTATTATAATTGGTTTCTCATCATCTTCATCTATAATTATAATAAAATCTATATGATGTATATTATTTATTTATTAAAATCTAATATTTTTTTTTTTTTGGATTTACTTGGTTCTTTTCCAATACAGTTCTCAAGCCTGTTAAAAATGTGAAAATTTGGTTTGGGTTCAGGTGGTAAATAGTTTTCTGGATCCTATATATGTATATATATATATATATATTAATAGATGATCGATTCATTAAAAATTTGAAAAATTTATAACAACCTTGAAAATTAAAAAATCTTGATCAAATTCTAAAGACATTTTTTTTTAGATTTCAAAAGATCTACAATAAAATTTGTATATAGGGAAAACTTTTGTGTGTAACTCAAAATTTTCATGATCAAAGGGGCCGCCGACCTCTATAAATCTAGTATGCTTGGATCTCGCAAACAGGGTCTAATATTTTCACCAATTATAATTTATATGTTATAGATTAATATTAAAAAAAATACAAATTTGGTCAGAGGACCTTGGAGGTTTGTTTTACTGGGGGGGGTCTCATTAATATTTTCGAGAACTGCAAAAAATAAACCGCGGGTTTGTTTCTGAAAATGATGGTGCTCAGGTTACATGTATTTGTGGTAATAAAATAAAATTAAAACGCCCTTTTGACGAAGATTATATCATCGGCATGTAGTAGGAAATGGGTCTAAAAGAAAAAAACTACCCAAGGAATTACTAATTCTGTCATCAAAAAAATTTTTTGTGGTAATAAGCATGAATCATATATTGAACATTGTAATTCGTAGCAGTGCACCTCCACATCATGAATTGGCTCGTCAATTATTTCCTGAAATTTCTATAACAGATGATTTCGGTATTTCTGTCATCAAATACTATATGCACTAAGTAAGTGCCTCTTTATTATAAAAATAGTAATTATCATCCTTTTGTAGAATCTCGTGATGAAATTAATTCAATATCTTATATTTCATGTCGAGTTTTTTTACCTCTTCAGTTTAAACTTTTTTTCTTTTTTTTCAGACGGATTCACCATCATCACCATTATATTACACTATTATTTGGTAGTTTTGCATTTCAAGCAATTTCAACTTTTAATCAAGTTAACGTAAAAGATCAATTGAAAGTATCTTGTGAAAAAAATTTGTTTTACGACCAGAAAGCATTTATTGGTCAGACACATAATTACACAAAAATGCCATATATGGCTGAATGAAAAATATTGACACGTATAAATGTTTTTAATTATTATTTTTTCTTTGTACAAAATAAAAAAAATGAGATTACTTAAAAGATTTGTTTATATCTTTTACATTACATTTTTTTTATTAATATTATCAACGACAATTATTTTCACAAATGCATTTTCAATTTCATGGGTTTATGAAGATCTTTTAGCACATCCGCAATACAAAGTCGTTGTTCTAGAGAATCAACTAATACCAAATAGCAGGATTGAAAATCATGTCATTGAAAAAGTACAAGCAGTTAGCTTTATTAGAAGATTTTATTATTAATTTTTTTAATGATTCACTCAAGTATTTATTTAATCAAATAACATTTACCAGGATTCCAATAATGTTCAGGAAATGATACAAATTGATCAATCATCATCATCTGGAGAATCATCAGAAAAATCAAAACCAACCTCAATAATAATGCGTACATCAACTGGTCAACCATATGTTTGCAGTATACCTTATATTGACAATCAAACAACTATTGAAGAGAATAAAAACAACAGCGACGACAATAATAAAAACAATAAACCTGAAGAAAATAAAGATGATGATATCAACCTCATGAAAAAAGGTTTAGAATTATTAGAACCTTTGAAGAAAAATTGCCTGTACTATGTAAAAAACTAACTTTTATAAATGATATTTTCTTATTATCAAAAAAATCCATTATTATACAATTAAAATTTGATTATTTTATTATTTCTATTATTTAGATAAATGGATGGTGGACTTATGAATATTGTCATATGAGGTAACATATTTATATGTGGGTGTTTTTGTGTGTGTGTGTTGTTGTTGTTCTATTTATTTGATTTTGTAAGCGTATTAAATATATAATATTTTTTTAGACATGTGAGACAATTTCATCAAATCATTCAAGCTGGGGGGAATCAAGTTGTTGAAGATGAAAGTAGTGAGTCTTTTTTTTTGGGAAAATATGACCCACGTCATGCAACCTTACCATCACCTTCAGATAATGACGATGATAATAATAATTTTGGCGAAAAAAAAAGGACATTAGGTACAGATTTACAAGTTGGTGGAGGAAAAAAATACTTGGTTCAACGTTGGAGTGATGGAACTAAATGTGATTTAACTGGTAATCCTCGTAGAGTTGAGATTCAGGTTTGTTAATTATTTAAAATATTTAAAAAATTAAAACTAAGCCTTTGAAATTATTGTAAAAATAATTTAAATTTATATATTTATTTTAATAAATTAGTTTCATTGTAATCTGCAAAGCCGTGATTATATTGCCGTGATTACCGAGATGTACACATGTCATTATCTTGTAATTGTTCACACATCACTTTTATGCACCGATCCTGCTTTTCATAATACATCTTTCTCAAAAATCAATCCGATTGAATGTATACCGGTGGTATCTGATGCATATTATCAACACGTTATGGAAAAAAGATTAGAAAGTGGTTTGAAAGGCAAGTCAAGGTACAGTATCATTGCAAAAGTTTAGCAATGTGATGAAATTTTGATTGATTAATTATGTTAGTATTTTTTTCTTAAATTAAAAAAAAAAAAAGAAAAATCAAGGTGGTTCGTTCCTAGTCTATTATGTCATTAGAAAAATAGACATATTAATTACACATTATATTTTTTTAACATGATATTAATAAAAAATTTTATTATTTTGAAAATTTTTTTCAGCAAACAACATACTAATGAAAAGGGTGAAAAATTTGATAGCTCAAATAATCAAAATCAACAACAGCAAGTGAATCAAGCTTTAAATAAAAACAATCCAGAATCAACGGATAATAACAATGATAATGATAATGATAAAAAGGACATAGAAATGGCTCGAAATAAAATAAAAATGGAAAAATTGGCAGCAATAGCAAATAAATTGCTTGAGAATACAAATAAGCAACAACAAGATGACGATCATGGAGGCATCAGAAAAATAAAGATTCTTCTTTTAAATAATAATGGAAATTTAGAGCAAATTGGAACCATTGGTAATGGTGGTAGGAGTAACAGTGAGAATTTAAAGGAAGGTGATGATGGAAAAAAAGAATCATCAGATTTTGATTTGGAAAATTTATTAAATAATTTGGGAATTTTTAATACAAAACATGAAAAAGTGTTATTTGAAGAACAGAATAACCAAAAGGGTCATCAAGCAAAATTAAGTAAGATCTATGAAACAAGATTTGACTCTGATGTTGTGGATGATACAAGGATTGATGCGGACAATGAAGAAAAGAAATAAATAAAAACTCTTAAGAATATTTAATTGATTATCATAATTGCATATTCACAATGATTGGTGTTAGCAGTAGAAATAGTCATGTATTTTTATCTAATGAGTCTAGAGAGGAAGGCGATTAAGTAAAATGTTTATTTTTGTATAATCCTCATTCAAATTTAAAAAATAAACTTTCTCAAACCATTCTTTCATTATTGTAAATTTTACAAATTCTTAAAACATAAAACTAAGTGAAAATAAATAAAATAAAATGCAAACCATTTAGATATTGAATATCAGTGGAACAAAAGTAACAATAATACGAGATGTTTATAATATGAGTGTATGCAACTTGGAAGTTTTATTCAAGAAACTGATCACTATTCCAACCAACACATAGGAATATGAATATTTCTTTGATAGGATCCAAATACTATTGTGCTGATGAGCTTTATTGAAATTAGAATAGTAGTAATAGTAATAGTAATAATACTGGTGAAAGATGATGACAAGGCCGGAGAAGTAAATGAAGAAGAAGATCAAAATGTAGATTTTGATGACGACAATAAAATGTTAACATTAGAAATGATGAAAAAAGAATTAGATTATTTTAATATTGAGATAAGCATAATGAAATTCATTTAAATTTAATCTATCATACAACTGTGGAGGTGACCTGAGAAAATTTTGAAGAAACTTTGTCATGTAAATCCGTCGATGCATCCAAGCGTTTTATTATGTGCAGACTTGTTCATGTGGGAGTGTACTTGTGAAATTTTTCGTTACTTTATTGTAGTTGCTAGTGTTTCTACTGCTGATGTTTCTGCCGTTGCTGATGATGATGGGCTAAGTGAATTTTGATTTCTTGACAAAGCATTCTCTTCGTTTTCCTCAACATCGGAATTTTTTCTTTGCCATCATAATCACAATCATTGTTTTCTTGTTTTGAAGGACTAGTTAATATTGATGATGATTAGTGCAAACTTTCTTATGTGGTGGTTTACAAGTTTCAGATTCTTCAACTTTATTATGTTTAATCTACTCGATTCTTTATTTCTGATTTTTCTTGCTCATGGTTAGTATTCATTTTAAAAATAATTAATATTATAACTAGAGGAAGAGAAAAACACTTGTTTAATTAATTAAGTATTATTGTATTATTTCTTAGAAATGAAGACCACATAAGAAAGTTTGTGCTAAATCATCATCGTCAACAGTAACTAGTCCTTCAAAGCAATGAAAATGATGACAACTATGATTATGGTGATAAACAGTTGAAAATTTGAGGATCATTTTATTGGAGTTGCACAGGCTTGCATTAGTGAAACCAACGAATTTTTCAATTTTCACATACAACAGATTTCATTTTATATTAATGTAAAAAAAAAATTGTGAAAAAATGGTTAAAAAGAAAAGTGGAAGAACTCTTAATCCAGCTGATGCGCATCGTAAAGCGATGCGCCAGAAAGAGATCAAGAAGAATAAGGCTGAAAGGAGAAGAATAAGAACTCTTGTTATGATGCACAAAGATACATCAAAACTTGAGGAGGAAATAACACGTTATAAAACTTTAGATAAAGGAAAACGGCTAGATAAAAATGGAAAAGTCAAATTGAAAGACTTGGAAGATAAATTTTCAAAAATAATAGAAACTAAAAAAGCACATGGCGTTTCTGTAGTCAATGATAAACCAAAAGCTACATTTTATAATCCTTCTGGATTACTACCAACAACTGATGCTGGAAATTGTAAATTATATATTTATATATATATATATGTGTGTGTGTAACATATATTAATTATATTTATATGATTTTTAGTACAACCAAGATATGCTGAAGATTCCACAACAGATGATGAAAGAAGTTTGGTTCATAGTGATGAAAGTACTGATGATTTATCAGATGATGATGAAAATTCAGAAGAAATTGATGATACAGGTACTATTATAAATAGTATTATTAGCATAGTATTAATGAGCAATAGTAGTGTAATTATAATCGATTAACAAATTAAACTTTTTTAAATAGATGAGGAAATAGATGAAGATATACCTTTACCTTCTGGTTCACCACCAAAACAAATAAATGAAACATCAGCTAATGATGACGATGAATTACCAGAATTACCTCCTGGTCCACCACCTTCAAAAAAACGATTTGAAATTAGCGATGACGAAGGAAAAGGTGATGAAGGTGACGAAAGTGAGGATGATGATTTACCTTCTTTACCACCAGGACCTCCTCCATCAATGATGAAAAAACAACAAAAAATGGTAACAAAAATACCACCTCCGCCGTCGCCATCATCATTTGGATTTTATCATTCTAATCATCACCCACCATTTCTTCTGCCAGCTAATCCTTTTATGATGTATAATGGTCCACCACCAGGTCCACTAAATAATCAAATACAAAATATGATACCACCACATCCTCCATCACCGAACTCATTTCCTCCTGGAACTGGTAAATCAATTAGATTTATATATTTGACTGAATGATTTATCATCATTATTTTATTTTAAAATCTATTCTACTACTCATATATAAATGAACGAACGAATGAATAAATAGGTTCTAATCCTTTTGGGAGACTGCCAACACCTATACATGGACAAATATATTCATCACATACACAAGTATCAAGACCACCACCATTTAGTACGAAATTTTCACATTATGGCCCACCACCACTACAAAATCAACAACCAAAACAATTTTCTCAACTAAGTTCATCTCCTAACTCAATTTCATCGTCATTATCACCTTTTAAATCAAATAATACAGTATCATCAACCAACAACAAAAACAACAACAATAGTAATAAAACTATTACTTCATCTCCATCATCAATAACTGCAACACCAATTATTCAGGCTGAGCCTCAAGTTCGTAATTTACAAAAAGAATTAACAGCTTTAGTACCAGCCTCGTTGTTACGAAAAAAAGCTGCATCTAATAAACCAAAGGTTATTAGACCATCGGTAAACACTGCGCCAAATATTGATGATGGTTTAATAACGGAAATAACTTCTTCTTCACCTTCATTTACAATACCTATTAAAAGACCATCATCTTCATCTGTAGTTGCTAATATACCACTTTTACAAAATCAATCTTCAAATGATAAGCAACAGCAAGCTCCTCCTCCTCTTCCTAAAAAATCTAAAACAAGAAAAAAAGTTGACGAATACGAAAAATTTATGGCAGAAATGCAAGATTTATTATGACAGTCATCATAAATTAAATTATTTTTATATTTACACAATAGCATGTAAAAAAAATTTTTAATTACATAATAGTTTAGATTATTTTGAAAATTATAATAAATATTATATAGACAATAAACATTAATAATAAAATAAATTTATTTATTATTTTTGGACTATCCTTCCTTCTTTCTCAGCTTTGGCTTTAATAAAAAAGTGAGAGAAAATAAATATGGGCCTAAGAAGAATTCCTGTTGCTGAGATAGTCAAGTAAGATAAAGATATTTTGTTTATAATGTTATTTTATTAATGTATTGATTATTTTTAGGAAAATCAGTTGTTAGATCTCATTTGGGGCATACTGCAACAAAACCAGACAAAATGAACATTGGTGTTACTAAGGATTTCAGGGATCAAAATTTGTAATGTGATTATAATTTGTTATCTTAAGTGATATATAGAATTACCTCTATATAAAAATAGTTAATATGAAGTTAATTTATTATCAGGTCTACTATAGAACCCAAAACTACTGCACTATTAGAAGTATTCTGAAGAAAGAACAAGGTGAAAAAATTGCTCCTTACAATTTTAAATTAGCAGATGATCCATTTATTTTACATATTTATAAACGTTATTTATTATTTCTAAAAAAAACTACTGGTCGCCGCAGATCTATAGTAATAGTAGATGATAGTAAAATTCGAATTTACATAGTAAAAAAATTTTATAATCGAATGTCTTACATTCTTGCTTGATACCCTCACTCACTGTGTAGCAACCACCACCAAATCTAATAAATAGTTTTAATTGAATTATTGGTATGTACATATATTTAAAAAGGGAAAAAATTAAAATATCATTAATGATGATCTTATATTTTTTTAAAATGTCTAATTGGGAAAAATTTATTTGATCATACTATAACGATAAACAAATAAGATAGAATTATTTTTTGTTTCTAAAAACAGTACAGTGCGTAACATCATAAGCCATCACATAAAAATGGACTAATTTTAAAACCTAAAAAGGAAATACTGAATGGT